AAGAGAGAAAAAAAACCGAAAGCAGCCTTTTCTAGGTTTCAGTAGGTACTTCTATAGGAGGGCAGGGATGGTCACAATATGGATCTACTAGATGCATATTCTCTTAGCTTCTTGGTCAGGTACCGGTTCCTGTGTAGGTCTTGAAGCTGTAGTATTCTTTTCATCCTGTTATCAGGACTTCAATAGCCTGTCCTGGGGTCCTTGCTCTGTAATGGGGAAAGGCATGTCTTCTTTAATTTTGCATTCTATATATTGAATTCATGGAAAATTCATACCAGTGCCAAGTGTTTTGTGGAGAACTGCCAGCGAGGACTTCAGCCAAGATGATTAATCAATTCACATTGATGTTCAGTTGTACCAGAATAAGTTCTTGCCTGTCATATACCAGGGGTTTAAGGAGCAAAAGGCACCACATCCTGCCTCACTACCTTGGAGCTGTCTTACATATTCTGTAGTATGCACTTTTTTAAAAAAAGTTTAAAGAAATGTACTATTTTCTACTTCAGAAACTGACCAAGGTGTGGGTCACATAGAATACTGCGTGCATTTTATTAATTAACTTTACATATACATAGACTCACTAGCTATGAACACACACAATCTACTGTCTAGCACCTTATCTCCAAGAACACACAATTTATATATAGTTATAGCTTACATTTAGAAGAAATGCCACAAAAGAATACAGCACTGACACAGGACAAAAATATCAAACTTTGAACATGAAAATCGTAACAATGAAGAGGGGAAAATTCACTCAAGTTTGAAGCACCAAACTAAAAACAATCTTATTTTTCTCATTTTTGAGCAAAAGAGATATAGAAATTAATCCTCAGATGCAGTAAACCCTTAAGTGTACAAGTTACTGTGTTTCCCCTTGATGTGTATACTCGAGATATGGAGGCTTTGTGAGGCAATGATAGAACCACCTACTCCTATTGGCAACTTTCATTTTCCTTGAGGATTCTTGTACTACTAACCAAAGAGTAGTGAACTTGCCAGTGATCTGGCAGTGGCTAAGTTCAGTGTATTTTAGCTCGCCTAGTTCTTCCCCTAGCCAGTTTTGTTGCTTATAGCAGAAGGGTGCTAATATACGTGCCTGGCATTTACCATAGAGGAAGATATCATGTGTAATTGGAAAGAATTTAGGACGAAGGTTTATCTTCTTTAGGAGTTTTAGGCTATGGTCCATTGTTTCCAGTTCCTGCTTCTGCCTCCTCATGCCCAAGTTTGGGGGTAATATGGGGCTTTGGGAGGCCTAGAGTAGTGAGAGAAAATAGAGAAACAGGTAAGGAGGAAGAGTGTTAAAAGCTGGTGACTGACCAGACTATCATCTTGGCACCCTGGCTAGGAGCCAATTGTCCCTTTAATCCTTTCGTTTGCTCTAGAAGAAAAAGGCATTTTGCTTAAAGAAAACTCTCCTGGCAGCCTGGGGTTCATCTTAAAGAGGAATTCAACAGGAAAGACAGAGTTTAAATTTTTTTTTTCAAAATATGGAGGGGGGTATTTATGAGAAAAAACTACAGTTCAGTTTATTGAACAGTTCTATTGATACCCCTGTTTCATCCCAACAACCTTGAAGCATTTTTATTTTACAAAAATTCAAAGTACCAGGAGATACATAATTTTTTTTCTCTTCCAAATGGTGTGTTTTAGATACTTTAAAAAGAATTTTTTTTGGTGGGGGGGAAAAGTCTTAAGAAAGTAAACCTCATTTAATCACATAAATTATTCTTCAGGTAGCACGAAAAAATTTTCTGAAGTAACTTTACCTATCTTAATTGGCTAATTGTGTATAAAATAAGGCAGTGTTAGGCACCTTATAATTTTATAGGTAAAATATTTTTTAGTGTCTTTGCTGAAATAATTAGACAGTATCTGTAAAACTGAATATGCTCTTAAGTTACACTGGGTGATTTTTTTAAAAAAGAAATGGGGTGCCTGCTTTTTTGTAAACTCTTAAAAGACCTTACCTGCGGAATCTGAAGTAGGTATCCCACCATCTCTAAATCAGTTTGGAGTTGGGCAGGTGACAGAAAAACACCTTTAATTCCTGGTCATTCTTGTGATTCACTTCTCTCTTTTCTTCTTCCATGGACCCCCCCCCCCCCAGGTCCCTATGACTCTGTCAATGCTAAACTTGGAAGGGATGAGGACTGGATGGGTACACAGAGCCCCAACAAGGGCCAACACAGTAGAGGGAATGGGAGTGAAGCAGGTGAGGGCAGTGGACATGGTGGCAAAAGGTAGGCATGAAGCCAGAAGTGCAGAAGACTTGCCAGCAGGTGATATTTGTGATGTCTTAGAGAAGATTCTTCATAAAAAAGTCACAGAAACTCAAGGTTTCTTGTTACTGCCTTCCCAAATTTGTTGAAATTGGTGTATTAGTCAAAACACCTGTGACTCCTTGGCAAACGAGACGCCCTATTAGTCTTAAATAAGGAAATCATTAAATTTAAAATCACATCATTTCAAAGTCTGGCTTGTCTGGCCCCCATAATTTAATGGGATTCTTTTTACTGCACGTATGAAAGACCTTGGAAAAAGAATACATCCTTTAAAAACATTTGGGGAAAGCTATTGCACATGATGATCTGTTAGGCTAATGATGACTTTTGTGTGCTTTCATATTTTTACATACCAAAACTGTACATGCAGTAAAACCTCATTAATTCATAGTTCTTCATTCAAAATAGCACAAAATTTAAAGCAGTTGCTATCTCCAAGCTAACCAGAGGCCCCATTGTTCACTATGAGGAAATGCCATCAAAGCAGAGTATGCCCTTAATTCAAAGGTCTTCACCGTTGAAGAATCTAATTTGTCAAAAGGATGGACAGTGACTAAAATAGGGAAAAGTGGAGCTGCATAAGGAGAAAGCGAGTCTCAGCACCCTGGAGGATGTTATGTGTGTTGTCAAAAGGACTTACCACACTTGTACAGGTTCTGGTTCCATTTTGATTTAGGATTTTGGCAAACAATTTTCTCTGTTAACACTTTGAAGGGGTTGAGCTTTAAAAATAAAATGAGAAGTTCAGTTTCAACAAAATGTTGCAAACACTTATACTTGAAATTCTGTTTCCTATCTGGGTAGATAAAACATTTGTACTTAAAGGACAGGCTATAGCCACCTTGAATTCCTCTATTACAGACCTGTAAGGCAAAACCCTTTCCCCCACAAGAAGACTGAACACATAAGCCACTTTACCCAGGTATCCTTTAAGGACAGATCAGTATAAGAGTTTAGTAATAAATCAGTATAAAAACTATTTTATTAATACTTTATAAATTTTTATAGAAAAATAAATGGTAGTGTGAGAGTGAATGTCAGCCTCCATGCTTTGTCCAAAATTGCCAAATTCCATAATATTGGAGTTGAAATTGATAAGGTTTTCATGGACATACTGATTTGACAGGTTAGTTCAGTAGAATTTGGTTCTATCTACTCTCCTACATTCTGAACACAGTCCCACATTCCCACGCACACTTATTCACAGCCATTTACGTCTCCCCCTTGAGAAGCTCATTGGAATCTGTGAGGAGGAAGAGGCAAAATATAAATGAGCCAGGCATTTATAGAAATGAAAAACTGAATTATAATAAATACAAGGCAACCACACAAGAATGGGAAACTCTGAATATGGCCGTCTTTTACATACCCACCTGATTAACCATTTTAAATAAAATACTCCTCTTCAGTCCCCACATTAACAGTGGGTATCTGCTCCAACAACACTGCTTACCAGTTTTGATTCAGCGTTATTTTTTCCTTAGAGATGTCCTGTGCTCTCTGAAATACATAATTATATCCTTGCTCAAACGTATTTTAGGACTTGATATTTGAAATCTTCCCTTGTGTGTTTGCCATAGGGATGATTTAGGCGGTACAATGGCTTTTCTCTAAAATTACATATTTTAATAGTAATAATTGATAGGATATGTCTGACCCAAATGCTTTGACTTTCACTTTGGAACAGGTCAGATGTTTGCCAGGTGTTGTGAAACCATCCACTGTGTCATTTATGACCCTTACATTCTCCCTTGTATTTGTGCCAAGAATTTAAAACTTTTAGAGAGCCCAGGTTGAAGAGACTGTGCATGACTGGAGGAAGGAAAATGTCCATCCCCATATGGGGAGCCTATTTCATGGTTATTAGGTTACAGAGAGAAGAGACTTATTATGAACATATAATTGATTGGTAGTGTGAGATTTAAAGACCTTTGGCCATTCATACTCGGAGAGCCAAACTCAGTCACAAAGGGGAAGTAGTAAAATGGCACGATTTCTTTCCTGTTGTTAAATAGGAGACAAAATGTTTTAGTGTCACTTGACAATTTTCCACTGGCACAAAGTCAGTCCCAGCCCATGCATAATCCCAATGAGAGAGGTAGGGGAGAGGAGGAAGGAAAGAAAAAAAGAGAGAAAGAGCAAGAAACACACAACTGGTTTTTCCAAGTCTTCTTTTGAACCATCTCCCCATTTCACGTATGCCCTTTTCTGGATTCCTTTAGAGGTTGTAGAAGGTTTCTTGATATTCTAACTGCATGATTCCCCTCTGTCCTGGTTGGAAAAATAGTCTTTGCACCATGTTGTGCGGCTCTTCAGTACAGAAATTGGCTCATACGTTGATCAGTCCACCCAGTTCTGCTTTTTGGGCTCCACAAATGATTCTGTCAATTGCTTTTCTTTCAGTTGAACATAATTTGTATCCCTGGAATATAAGTTCCTGACATAAAGGCCAAATAGTCCTAACATCCATAGGCAACACTTTTACTTTCCCTCAGAGCTAAAGCTGCCAGGTTGTAGCTCCGGGGAAACAGGCAAAATACCAAGAACAGTTCTGAAATGGGTAGCCCTTGTTTTAAGAAATTTGGAGCCTAATAATTTTTTTGTGGAAAAATTTCAGTCCAAATCCTGAAGTCCATGCTTTGAGGGCCTACACCTCTGAAGGAAGATACCAGTTCCTACCTTTTCCATATAATCATCTACCTTGTGGTGGAAAAAGATGCATGTGCAACACCTTTGCCTGAAATGGTATGGGTTGGCATTAATGAGATTGTGGGTGGTGCACTGAAAAGAAAGCTGCTCTTGTTTTTTGTCTTGTGGACAATTCAAGGTTTGTCTTAGGACTAACTTTAGGGTGAAATAGCTGATTCATGGGAGGGGATAATCTTGCCTTCAATCCCACCGTCTGTGCCAGCTTCGGTTCCAGGCAGGTCAGGGTGGCTGTCTTCTTCTGGGGGCTTTTCCTTGCAGAATAACTTCCTCACTATATCCTGGACTTCCTTCTTGATGGTCTTGTGCATGTAACCATAGATATAGGGGTGTATGCAGCACTGCAGGAAGAAAAGCCAGATTATTATGGTGATCACCCACTGGGGTACCTTCGTTTGGACATCCACCCAGAGGGCCAGTACTGCTAGAAAGCAGTAGGGCCCCAGAGACAGCACATAGGAGAAAATGATGAGGAAGATCACTCTAGCAGCTTTGCACTCATAGCACCTGGGCAAAGGAGGATTGCTGTTACTGTTTCGACGACTGGGTGGCAGGCTTGCTGGGATGTTCACTGCCTCGATGTCATCCTCATTGAACTGGATCTCATCCATACCAAACTCAATGTCATCTTCACCCACATCAATGTTGCACTGATTGACCTCTAAGCGGCTCCTGTCTGCCTTCATGCTGCTCTCTCGAACTTCAATGCCGACTTCCTTACCCTCCATGCTGTCATTACTGACCTTCTCACTGCCCGTGGCCTCCAAAATACCCTTGCTGACCTTGACCTTCATGCTGCCATCCTTGGCTTCCATGGGGACCTCTTCTACCTTCATATTGCTCTCTTTGGTCCTGGCCTCACCTTCATCTTGGTAGTGCAGCTCATTCTCATCCTGGCATTCATCCCTCTTCATTACTGCCTGTTCATTCTCATTCTTCACACAGTCTTTGACCCTCACCTCCAAATTGTGGCTCTTGGCATTGTACAGCAGAGCATGCTGCCGCCGGGCTGCACCGAACACCACAGAGTAGCAGGCAATCATGACAGTCAGTGGAATGACGAGGAAGGACACTACACTGAGAATGGTGTAGGTTGGGCTGGTTCCCCAGATCATGGAGCAGAAGGCATTTCGCTCATCAAAACCAGCCTGGCCCCAGCCATACAGGGGAGGGGTGCTCTGCAAGATGGCCATAATCCAGGTGCCATAAAGGAGCATGTAACCACGGCTGTGGGTCATCTTGGATGGGTAGGAAAGAGGGTGGATGATGGACAGGTAACGATCTACTGACACCACCACAATGGTATTGACACTAGCAAACGCAAAGAGGTGGGTGAGGCTAACCAGGGCAGTGCAGAAGTGGCTGTTGAGAGGCCAGAAGAGAGGCATGGAGGTGGCCACCACCCAGGGGGCCACAAGAGAAATCTGCAGCAGGTCAGTGACGAGGAGGTTAAAGATGAAGCGGTTGGTCACTTGCAGCAACTGGGGCTTGCGATGCAGCACATATGCCAGGATGATGTTGGCTACAAAGGACGCACTGAAGAAGATGAGCAGTACAGTGGAGCGGATGATACCGTGAGCCAGGCTAATAGGCATCTTGGAAAGGGGCATGCACGCTTGGCTGCTGTTGTTTTCACGTGTGTTGTTGGCGCAGGTGGATGTCATGGCAATGATGAAGGGACACAAGACAGGGTGCAGCTCGGTGAGTGCAACAGTGGGCAGCGAAGGGATGCACAGACTGCACACTCTCTATACTGAGGACAAGAGAAACGCGGGCAGGGTTAGTGCTTTGTAGAGAGAAGCCTCTGCACCCAGCAGCATTGCTACAGGACCCCTCCTTTGGACCCCTGCGCAATCTCAACACCAGTCAGAGCAGTTTCTGGCTGCTTTTTGGACTGTACTCTGGCAGACTCACAGCCTCCAGGTCTCACACTTTCTTCCTCTGGCTTGTCCCTCCAGCCAGCGCAAGTGCGAGCACTCCCTCAGGTCTCCTCCAGGTCCTGCTAGCTCAAGTGTGCGCACTCCCTCCTGTCTCCTCCAGGTCTTTAGGTCCTGGAGGCTTTTTTTATTTGCTTGTTTGTTTTGGTCTCTTCTGCTGTCATTCCCACCGACGCATGCGTGTGCAGTCTGTACCTGTCTATTTATGATCCTAGGTTTTTCTCTCCAGTGTTTTGCTAGCACGCGTTGCCTATATCTCTTGAAGTATGTCTCTATTTCCACTGATGCTGTCTCATCCTGGGCTCTCCATAGTCTGATTTTCAGTCTCCCACCTGCATGTGCATAGTCTGTGTCTGGTTGATGCTGTCTTCTGTGTGATACACCTGTCTCTCCCTCCCACTCTCAGTTTCTCTGTCTCTCAGTCTCGGTGTGTCTTTTCCACTAGCGAACTTTCTCTGTAGCTGTGTGTGCTCCCCTTCTTCTTGGGTCTTCTTTCCAGTCCTGTCCTGTCCCCCCATGCCCTGTCCCCTCCATTCCTCTCTCAGTGGATTTCCCTGACAGTCTATCCATTCAGATTTCTAACACACTGTTCAGTGCCCCTGACTCTGTCTTCCTGTTTCCATCTCCGTGTCTCTCCAACTCTCTTGTTCTCTGTCTTTCTCGGGTTCTCTTTGTGTGGCTCCAGTCTCTCATCAGCACCTGTGTGCCTGCTTTTTCCACTTGTCTCTGTCTGCTTTTACTGTTTTTTTCCTGGTGCCCAAGTTCTGTGTGTGCCCTTGCTGACTCACCTTTCTGCTGGTCTCCAGCACTCTACTGCCTGTCTCACCTGTCTCTGAATCTCAGGCGATGTCTCCAGATGTGTACCGTGGTTGGTTTCTCTGTCTCTCATTCTTACCACACCAGTACCAATGCCAAACTCTCTGCATCTTTGAGTACAGTAAATCTCAGTCTCAAGTTCCATCATTCTCCAACAGCCCCTCACCTCCATTTTCCTATGGCTGGATGGATCCCTGCCTGTACCTGTCTCTGGGCACTTTATTTTGCCATAGAAACCAGTTGCCTCTTTGCCCACCCTGGACTTTTGGTGGATAAAATGTCTAATTTCTCAACAGTTTAGCACCGGCTGGAGCATGCCAGGAGGATGCCCATCCCAGTCCCCCATATCCGAAATTCACCACATTCCCTGTGTTCTCCATCCAGCTAGTTGTCTCTGCGGCGAGGTGAGGGATGGGGGGGGGGCGAGCTGAAGTGAGGCACAGTCTGAGAGTGGCAAAGAGTGAGAGAGAGAATATGAATGAATGAATGAATGAATGAGAGGCAGAGAGAAACTGAGAGACCAGTTCGGGATAGGAATCAAGGAAGAGCATGCAGGAGTGTGAGAATGAGATGGATAAAAAGATATGAGAGAAAATGGGACAAGAAAGGAAACAGTGGCATAGAGAGATGAGACAGGAAAAACAGAGAAAATAAGAAAACAGGACGCAAAGCAAAAAAAAAAAAAAGGATGAGGGGAAACTAGAAAACTGGGGAGGGGGAGAGAAAGCGAGTGATAAAGTATCAGGGAAACGCGACGGTGACAGGACATCCCAGGCAAGGCTAGAAGGGGCGTCACCAAGGGGCTTCTGTACTCAAAAGCTTAGCAACCATCTGGCGATGCCAGACGGGGTGTCCCTGCTCAGGAGGTTTGGGGCCCACTGGACGGGGGGCCGCGGAACCCGGAGTGGAGGGTCGGCTTACCTGTTGCTGCTGGAGACGTCTCGCCAGGGGCGTGGAGAGCCGATCCCTCGGGGCTCGCCGGGCTTGTCTGGCCACCTTTAGGGGCGCAGAGGGCTGCGAGCTCACACCGAGGGGCGGGAGGAGCGGGCCCAGCGGGAGCGGGGCACAGAGCTTGGGCCAGCACGTCCTACCGGCGCGCAGTGCTGCGAGCTCTCAGCAGGGGCGGGGGCGCGCGGCGTCTTATGGCAGCGCCGAGCCCTCACCTTGCGGCGCCCCCCTCCCCTCTTTCCCCGCCCCCGCTGGTGACGCAGGAGGCCATCGAACCCCGAAGAGCAAGGCTGGCCGCGAGAGAAGCTCGGGTAGGGGGGTGGGGGTGCGAGGAACTGAGGGAGGGGTGCACTGCAATAAACGCACACAGATTTTGTCACCCTGCGCCCCACCGGAGGCACGGAGGCACGCAGGTGCTCATACACTGGAGTCATCACCAGGGCTAATGTTCTTGCAAACCTGCGGCCAGGTCGTGGCCCTAGAACTTTACAGTCCTTCCAAAGAGAGGGTAGCAGACTCTGGCCTTGACCTCTGAAGACCGCCCTTCTAAGTATGAACTGTGCTTGGGTTCAATGGAGGAATCCTGACTTTGATGTCAATATTTTTTCATGAATTTCTGTAGCTTCTAATAACAGCTAAACAGCAGTGTTTTACCTGTAGATTTTGGGATCATTACATCTAAAACTAGCTAATTGTTTATCCGCACAATTTTAAGTCTCTTTGCCAGTCAGTCTCAGTGTCCGTTCCTTCTCTGTGTTTCTCTCTCTCTCTCTCTCTCTCTCTCTCTCTCTCTCTCTCTCTCTCCTCTCCCCTCTCTCTCCTCTCCCCCCCTCTGTCTCCTACTCTGCCCCAACCTTTCCTGTCCCCTCCCCCCTCCCTTACCCCCTCTTCCCCTCCGCCGCTCCTCCTCCCTTCCCTTGCCTGCTTCCCCTCCCTCTCCAGTTCCCTGTCCCTTTGGCTCCTGCTTGCTCCTCTGGTCCTTCTCCCTCCTCCCTCCTTCCTCTCTCCCCCTTCTTGAGTTCCCTGGTCTTCAGTCCCTCCCTCTCCTCCTTCTCCTCACTCTCTCCTCCCTTCTCCCTTTTCCTCTCTTACAACTCCCTCTCTGTTTTCATGGAGGGGAGGATGTAGCAGAAGGTTACCCCAGCTTTGTGAGATAAGTACTGCTATTATTTTCATTTTGTAGAGACAGAAGCAGAAGCCAAGAGAGATTACTTGCCCAAGTTGAAGTAAATATTGCATCTATTCTATTAACTAAGACATTTTTGCCTCTCCAAAATGTGTTTAGCATAAAGCAGGCCTGAGATGAGGATCTGAGACAGTGTCTCCAGTGGATCAGAGATCATTTTCGTCTATCTTTCTAGGCAGGAGAGAAGGAGACAGATGTTCTCTAATATTCAGGGGTTTGTGGACAAGGATAGGGCTGCAGGAGACAGCTGTATTCTAATGCTAGGAAAAAAGAAGCTATGGTATGGTATGGCACAGGCGGAGCCTGAGGTATCTTGAAGGGCAACCTGGGAACTTTGGACCTTATCTTGATACCCCTGGAGAACTGCTGAAGACTGATTTTATTATAAGCAATTTCAACCATACACAAATATAATGAGAACAATTAAATAGCCATCATGATCCTATCACTCAGCCTGAATAATGAGACTTGTTTGGTCATTCTTTTCCATTTATATTTTTAAAGAAGAGCAATGTGATGAAGCCTCTGTCTTTCCATGGTCTCCTAGGATCACGGTTTGGGTGGGGGCAGATGGGGTATTGGCTGGAGAAAAGGCAGAAAGCATGCTGTCATAGGAAAAGTCAGGAAGGCTTTAACAGGTCACACAGAAGATGCCTAGCAGAGTCTCCAGGAGAGACAAAATTAACATTGGAGAGAAACCAGGGCCAGGAGGTGTTGGAGATAGTACAGGATGAGCACAGGACTGTGAGTTGGCTGATGGGCTGGATAGAGATGCCCCCTCCCCTTCCCATCACCCACCCATGGGACTGGGAGATGAGGCAGGTATATAATCATGTCCCAGGATGCTCTTTGGATTTCAATTCTGTGTTTGCTTAGATCATTTATCTTTTTCTGCTAGGCCCGATTTTATCTTTCCAAGGTTGAATGGTAAAAAATTGGTCATTTTTCCTGGAGACAGTTTCCATGATAATCACTCACAGTTATTAATTCCCAGCCTCATGCTGGCCTTGGTGCAGAATCCTGGGTGGCACGCACTGTCAAACAGCAGTTGGTTCAGACTTGATTATTTTACAGTTGGTTGGGAGACAGTCAAGCTGCTTTCTCCAAGTGGTCAGAGACAAACTCCAATATTTTCAGACCTTTCCTCCTTTTTACAGGGGTTCTGACAGTGCCCTGGACTGCTGGGAACCAGCAGGGGACAGAGAGCAAACCTTTGCATACATGTCAAAGGTTGATGTTCCTGGACCAGCTCATGGAGTCTGCAGCTGCACTCTTGAGCATGAGAGCTGAGTGGGATGATGGGGAGTGGGAGGAGAAACCTGGGTGGGGTAAGGCCTCAGCAAAGGAGGCAGCCTGCCTTGCCAGCATGACAAAGCAAGAAGCCAAGGAAATGCAGGAGAGAAACACAAGCCACTTTTCTCTCCAAGGAGATTTAGGATGCCTAATCCTCAGGTGTGTCTTACTACTCCACACTTGAGCAGAGTTTGTGTCATTGAATTTCAAAGATATCTAAGTATCAGCAACCTAACATGGAGCATTGGAAATGTACTGAAGAAAGTACATTTGACTTCCAGCCCAGGCAGCTCTGACTTTGATGGCTTGAAAGAGCCCTTCAACTAGAAAGCTTCCTTAGATTCTGGGGAGGATATTTGAAATGAGGTTGAGAGAATTTGGGATGATGACTGCAGAAGTCACAGAGCCCAATTCCCAACTTCATAACTCAATAGCAACAGAAGTGCCATTGGGATAATGGTACAGGCTTGGAGTTGAGGGCAAA